CAATCAGAAAGACGTTATTTGGGCTTTAAAACTGCGTGCTTAAGAAGAGATGTTAACAGCTAGAAGTCAGGCAGATAGATGCATTGCATCCACCTAAGCAGTGGGTGCAGTTTTATAGTCACAATAGAAGGGTTCGTAGTGGTTCCGCCCATTGCAAAGGTGAAGCTAACACAGAAATCTCACCATCCCCAGGAGGAGTTGCAGCGTCCAGCGCGATCTGCAAAGATGATTTTGATAAACCCCATCGTGCTGCTCCTTTTCCGGAGATGACTCACTGGAATGTGTTCTCTTTTGTGTTTTGGGGCACACACAGCAACTCGGAGTCACCACTGATGTGTGAGGTTTCGACCCCGCAGCAGGGCGGCGCCAGCGGCAGCTCCGGAAGCAGCCTGGGGAGCTCCATCACCGCGTGCAAGAAGGTAACCCCCGCCTGCTGCCACCCTCTTCTCACCTTGAACTGAAACGCTAGCTTAGTTGGACTTTGCAAGCACTTTTTCTAACGCAGAAACAAACACAAACCACAGCCCACACTTTGCTTGCCCGGATCACCCCTGATGACACGTAAAAAATCTAATTCATGGAAATGATCAGAAAACTCAAGCAGTTCAGAAAGATAGGACTTAAGAATTCTAAGTCTCCAGGATCACAGCACCTCCAACCCAACCTCTTCCCAAAGGTAGCCGTGGGTAACAGCTTCTTGGACCTCCATTCAGAAAAGTCTTCACAGGGTTTGAATGGCTCACCTTATTACTACTATATTATGCCCCTAAGCTTGTGTCTAAGAAAAACTCATGGCTGTTCTCCTTTTGATATTTTCTTACAAAGAAAGGTACGATGCTTGGCTTACTTATTAGGAGAAACAAAATTACATTTCCTAGAATATAGACTTTAGAACTGATAAACAAATATTGCTTTCAGACATTTGCAGAAAGTTGTCATTTGAACAACATAAAATCGTCTAATATAATGACCTTTTAATTCCAGCCAATTCAACTTATGGTCCAGAAACTTAAAGTAAATTGCCCAATTCTCTACCTAATGCTTTTGTCACTATTCGATGCTGAATTCTAGAGGAGAATGTGTTTCTTCTCATCCAGAGTTAGAGGAAACCACGCTGGATTATTTGATTTATTGAAGGATTTAATGCCTTTATTTTATTACTACAAGCTGATGAAAATAATTATTGGTTTTTTTAAATCTCGTTAATCACAGATACTGGGACTGGGGAAGTGAGGATCTATAGTTCATTAAAACACATAGAATGTGTGTTCTGTCCAAAAAAGACAAAAAGAACCAGGGCTGTACCTTAGAAATAGCCAGGCTGTCCAGCCGAGTCACCTTTCTTCACAGTCAGTCAACCTCCAATAAGAGTAATGGAGGTAATTGAAATCTATTGGTAATTCCCCAAACTCATTTCACATAATAGCTTCACCTTCTTCCCCATCAAAACTTCTCTCAGAACTGACATCCTGCTAATTAACTGGTGGAAGAAACAAAACAAGGGCCCAGAAGATAATACATTTGTTAGATAATCAGCCCCTGAAAAATTGCAAATTGACTAAATTTCTTTCATGGGCTTCAGAGTGAATCTCTAAGGCTTTCGGGAATCTTACCCAGATGCACTTGCTTCAGTTTCTCTTTGCTGTTGGGGAACTATGGTCCCTGGAATTCATAGTATAGCTGTGAAAAAGCCTTCGCATCAGGAAAAAGACTTGGGTGAATTTACTTGAAGGAAGAGCTCCTTAATATATACTTTTGTCAGTGAGGGGCTGCCTTTCCCCCAGAGCTAAGAGACCACGCCACTGAGACACAGTTTACATATATCTTCTTGGTGTCTTCTTAATAAACCTTTTGCTCTCAAAAGTTATCTGGTATGTACCCTAAGTTATATAACTCTCTTACCTCTAGCTTTAGAATGATCCTTTTTCTCCCTTCTCTCCTGTTTCTAAGTATTAGGAAAGTAATCAGATAAATTCATACTGAGGCTTTAGTGATTGCATAGTTTAGTATGGTTGTGACAAAGAAAATATGCTTTTTCTTAACTCCTACAATCCATCCAAGTTGGAATGTAAGCTAACCTCTACGGCACTCTAATTTAATGAGCACCAAACCGAGGGGAAGTTTGGGTGTATGCAATGTGGTTCTCCAAAACAATGCATGTAAAATGATGGAGTTTCAAAATATTACAAGAAAAAAATGGGAAAGAAGGAGGTGCTGTGGAGAGTGGACACTAGAGCCTTCCATGGTATCCCTGGAATTGTATCTCACATCGACATTTTTGGTGTTCTCCCTTTTCTTAAGCCAAGTCCTTCTTATAAGAAAAATACAGCCACCACTGTTAAACTGAATTATAGGGATTTCCCACTGAATGAACTAAACGATTATATATATTATCCTTTTATATCTGTTAAACTCTAAGTGAAAGGTCTTTATAGTCTCCTAAAAATAAATCAAAATTTGTTATCTCTAGGGAGGCAGTAGGATGTTGTGTATCAAACCTGGATTTGGAATCCGAAGACCTGTGTTAGGTCTTTGGTTTCTGTTCTTACCGTGTGATCTCAGGCCACAGATGCCACTTCTCTGACTCAGACGTCTTACAGTTGGTCTGAGGTTGACTGCAGAAAGGTTTATGTAAGCCCTTGGCACACATAATTGATGCTCAGAAGTTTTAGTTGATCCCAAATAAATGATCTTTACACAGGGAAAAGTTTACTTAAATAGAACTTTAAAACTAATCTGAACATGGCATGCCATGTCCCCTCATTGTGGAATATCTGTTAGATTTTCCTCTACTTTGAAAGCATTTTAGTCAATGTCATGTCTCC